ATGCATAAGTTCCTAAATGAAGAAAATTGTTATCACTTGCAAATATTTTTGAAGGTTTACTTTACATAAAATGTAAAGTTTGTGAGAATGGTTTATTTTCTCTTCATGTAATTTTAATTTATAAAAATGTTTAATCCGAGCTGCTGTTTGCAATTTGTGTAATGTAAAAGTGCATGCGGATATTGAAAATTAATTATATTCATAAGTTCCTAAATAAAAGAAGTTATTATCTCTTGCAAATACTTTTGAAGGTTTACTTTACATAATATTAAAGTTTGCAAGAGTGGTTTTCTTTTCTCTTCATCTAATTTTAATTTGTAAAAATGTTTACTCTGAGTTCCTGTTTGCAATTTGTGTAATGTAAAAGTGCATGCAAATGTAGAAAACTAAATATATTCTTATTTTAACAAATATCTCCAAATTTCTTTAATTTTGCATTTCAAAACTAAACAAATTTATCCTTGTACTTTATTATATGAACCATTGACATAGCTTTTTATTTTGAAACTACTTAGTTAAAGCCTTTAATTATGTGTCAGTGTAACCTCTAAATAAAAAGATACTCATTTCAAATTATAAAAGGAATTCCGTGGCCTGAACACGAAGGAACGTGGTTTACTGCATGTACAATACAGTACATAGCATGAAATCTATACCATGACCTTGGAACTACATACACAATATGACAGCTCCATAGGGAACATTAGTGTCCTGACCTTATGTTTATAGAACTTGCACAGTGTAAGTTTGGTTTGGCTTGAGCATAGGGAGAGTCAGCTGTAAACATTCAAAATTCTTTTAATATATGAAATTTTCTCGTTTTTAACTCGGATATTGCTTTTGCCTTTTTTAAAGGACTGCTTTTATTTTAATTTGGTTTTGAACATTATTTATTTGTAAATGTCCTTAATATTTATATTTCTATTAACTGTCACTTTCACAAATTTAGACTTTAAATTGATTAGACAGTTTTTTGCTTACAATTCAATTTGTGTTCATTATTAAATATTTTTGGGAGTTTTCATTAAGGGTAAGAAAAGATAAAAAAATTTATAGTTAAGTCTGTATATACATTATTAATATTGGATGCCTTCAAGATTCACGAGAACTCTGAATCAGGAAGAAAAGGGGTCAATGAGAATTATAAATATTTAATTATAGAAATGTTAAACAATGTTAAGATAGGGTAGATTTAAAGTGTTACAAGAAAGGAGATTTAGGATGGCTTTGGAGTTTATCAAGGCCCATATTTTTTTATTATTTGAGCCGCTCACTTGCCAAGTCAATTAACTCCATATAATAAAAAATATAAAAATTGATAATGTAAATTATTTTATAAAATTCCTTTTAAAGTTTAAATTTAAATAAACATTGTAGAATGTATCTATATATACTGTTATATTAAAGCATAACTTTAATGTAACGATATATAAAATTAGTTACACAATAAATGTAAAAATAATAACGATTATATTAAGGATTTACAAGTGGAGTTTATCAATTTGGCCTGTGAATGGCTAATTTATTAATAATAGGTGAATTATTGTAGTTTTCAATGAGAAAGGCACTATGATATTTGTTATTCACAATTTATATAGTGTTTATTAATGAGATAAAGAAATTAAAGTTGAACCAAAAAAAGTTAGGAACAGGTTAGAGGGAGGATTAAAAGTCAGTAGATTTAGTTCTTGAATTTCAAATATAGGCTGTTAGAGGAAAAAGGGGAAATTCCAACTATCTATACAACATATTCAACATGTTTACAGACACATAATAACTTAGAGGTAATTAGAGGATGATGAGTTAGAGGTTGATAAATAAAATATGTAAATGTAGAATGGCAAGAATTCAGACATTATTATTAGATATTGATAGTGATTAATGATGACATGGAGTCTAAATGAAAGACATGTTAGTGATGGTTTACGCCTACATAAACAAAGGACAGATGTAGTAGGCCAACAATAAATCTTCATTCATATTCTAGTTTTGATAGTGCAGATTATTATATAAATTACCAAAATATGTAGAGCCAATGTGTTGTAAGGAAATGTAATTTCTCATGTCAAAAATACAAAACTATTTCATCCCAAATACTATTTCTCACTGTACTGAATCAAGTAAAATTGTATAGCACACTTTATGTAGTGCTAAAGTTAATAAATTATTTAAAAAATAGTATGTCTTTATCTGGATTGAATTTTTATGGCTATTTAAATGTATCAGAGGATAAGCTATGGTTTTCCTAATTATATTGTCATACATATGTAATAAAATAAAGCAGTAAAATGCAAATTTATTTACTTATTTTACCATTACCTATGCATTGAACAGATATATTATGCTCAGAATATTATGTACAAAAATTTCATTCACAATATGTAGCAATATAACAGTTTTAAAAAGATCTTTATTTAAAACCTGGATAAATTAAATCAAAAATAATTATATTTTCGATTTATCCACATCCTCATCTGTAATTTCAAATTATCATCTTATTAAATTTTTCTATAAACCAAATATACTTTTTCTTTCATTATACATGATATAAAATTAAAAAATGTAATTACAAATAAGATTCTTTTTGACAAAACATAGAAAAAGAAAGTTACAAAAATGCTTGAAAACAGTAAAAATACCTAATAACCAAATGGTTAAACCAACTTCTCACCGTAGTACGACTCTAATGCCAGCTATCAGCAATCCAACACACTAACTTGAGAGTAAGGTCTTGAGTAAATTAGAAGAATTGAATCTGCAGGATTTAATTCTTCTGTTAATTGTCCTCGATGACGGCAAAGGATACTCAATTTGTCTAAGGTATTCATAACCTCTATTACCTACAGCACATTTTAATTGTAATGCATGCCTGATGGTCTCGTTAGTCCACGGATAGGGATTACTCTTGCTCACCCTCTGCATATACTGCACTTGGTCAGGCTTCAAAAATTTGCTAAGCTTTCTCTCCAATGCCTCTTGCCTCTCCATTAGTCTTCTTATCTGAAAAGTACATACAAATTAATTTTAACATTATTAAAATTAGTTGTTTTTGGCATGTCCTTTACAATTTGACAAAATATTCTGATGAAAAGAAAGCCTAACTTAATTTATTCTCCAAGCATAGATCCCTCCCTCATCATGACATAGTTGAATGTAATAACATTATTATTACCTCTCTTTTCAACATTTTATTTTCTGCAGCAAGTTTTTCATTGCGACTATCATTTGCAACTACAGCTGCAGACTCTTCTGCTTCTGCTTCTTTTTCATTATGACTATCATTTGTATCTACAGCTGCAGACTCTTCTGCTTCATTACAATTCACAGACGACAAAGCTGTAAATTAAATTTAATTGTTCAAGCAAAACTACAGATAATTTTACAAGTGATCAATAATAAAACTAAATGTACGAACATATATATGTGTGTTCATACATTCAATTCTACTATTGATAGTTTTATAAGATGTATAAACCTATCTTACCAAAGCTGCACTCATTTGGAGGTGGTTCTCTTTCTCTTGGTGCTTCTCTTAATGGCAGACGGGGTGTAAAATTTGGAAGATCAAAAAGAGTCGGAATTGCATTCCATTTCAATAATTTTCTCCCATCCGCTCTTTTAAGTTCAAATTGTGACTCCTCAAAATGTATCTAAAAAATTTAGTTACATTACAGAAGTTATTGTAAATACCTCATAAATTTATATTTTCAACATTATTTTTATTCACTAACCTCACATAGCCTTGAACTCTCAGTTGGCTTCCATTTTTCTCTTCTGCAATATTGACCCCATTTAGCTTTCCTGGCTTTGTCAGCGGGAAAACGAAACAATCTTACACCTTTTTCTGTCGAATTTTTACAATTCGGTGCTGAACACCCAACCATTTTTAAAATACACAATTAAATAAGAAATCAAATTAACTGAAATAGAAAGAAACAAATAAATAATCACTTCGCTCTAGAAACATCGGTCACGTCGTAAAAGACTCAATATGACGACTGCCGCTGAGCATCACGGTATCGTGTCCTGACCTTGTGTTTATAGACCAATTATAGACCTTGCTTGAGAGCATAGTTCAAGACTGCCTATATGAAAAGCAACAAAGCATTTTTTAATATATATTTTGAATATTAAATGATGATATTATTATTTTAAAAAGTTTAACATGTACAAAGCATAAGATATAAAATGAATTTTAGTTTTCTAAATAAGCGTTTGATATAGGTGGTATAACTTTTTTTTCAGTTTTAGCATGGCAACACTTAACTTACATTGACAATATGGCGGCTATGTATTAAACGTGTGTGAATTCGTGAAATAATGGATATTAACCTTAAATTATTGAGAAATATGTATAGATTTTTCACTTCTAATACAAAAAATACTTTATTTCTTGATCTGAATTCATTAAAACGGTATAATTTTAAATTATGTTCGACAATAGTGAGTGAGGAAGCATCAGACAATAATGAAATAGACGAAATAGAAAAGAAACGTGATATCTCACGTTTACCAGAAAGTGTTCGCCAGATATATATGAAAAAGCAGATGTTACCCTTGCAATATTTTCATCATTACAAATTGGCAAATCTTCGTAAAAATTACGCGAGATTTGGTAAAAAGTGCGGAATAAATCCGGGTTTGATGTGGCCATCTAAAGAATATCTGAAAGAATTGAAGAAATATCAATCAATTGCTTATACGCCTTTGAACGAGATGCTAGCAAAAGTGAGAGAAAAAGACCAGCAGGATGTAGAATACAGGAGAGAACGAGAAGAGATGATTGAAAAGAATATGGCTAAAGTAGATACCTGGATGAGAGAATTTGAAATTAGAAAACAGAAGAAAGAAGCAGAAGCAAAAGCTCAAAAATTACGTAAACAGAAGTTAATCGAAGACGTACAGGAATACATTGGTTATAAAATGGATCCTAAGGATGAGCGATTCCAGGAGGTGCTTCAGATGAAAGAGGAGGAGGAAAAGAAGGTAAAGAGAAAATTGAAGAAGCAAGAACGTGAACAGAAAATGCTTGCCATGTTATTAGGTACAGCTGAAGAACAATCACCCAAAAACTCATGAAAATTAAATATTAAATAACATTTATGTAAAGTTTATGATTGGATCATAAGTTTATGCTATTTTCTTTATATTGCCATTTTTTTGTTGCATTTATGATAAAAAGTTTGAGTTAGACTAATCTTAGTCTTGAAAACTTTCAAATATATTATTATTAGATAATGATAATACCACGTGAATAAAAATAAAATATTTAATAGACCATACAATATTTTTCTATATTTTGCAATATTTTATTTCAATACATAAAAGTTTGGTTTAATA